GCAGCCATCAAAAGAGCCACATCTGGCTCGCGAGCCATAGGTTCCCGACCCCTGTGTTAGATGGAACACTTAACAAATTTACTGATGGCACAAAAATGAGTGGGACAGCTAGTAGAACTGGGCATGCTAAAAAAGATTCAGACAAAGCATTTTGGACCTCTCTGCTGTTCATTAAAGCAGTCCATCTTTTCTCAGGCATCTGTGCAGACCAGAACAAAAAAATACTGCGGCCTTCAGACAACTCCTAATGTGATTCTTAAAGCAGCTACAACTTTTTCCTGGGACACTTTTCAGAATATAAAATAATAGATTTCATTTACAAGAAGGTAGATTCCAAATGACTGTTCACAAAATCTTCCAGGCAGCAAGAGTAGTTCAACAGTAGGACCAAATACCAGACAAGTGCTAAGCTCTCCTTAACTGGAGGCATTCAAGCAGACAGTTCTCTGTCAGAGAAGTTTTAATTTCAATTTCTGAACTGAGCAGGGGGATGAACTTGATGGCCTAAATCTGCAGTGACTTCTGGAAGGGGGGGTGTCAAAAAAAGCAAGATGGCGGTCACAGCAGCATGACTGAGGCACTGTCACTTTTATATCTGCATTGATGTTGCACACGCAAAGGGGCAGAGCTTTGATTGCCCTGCTGCAACCAGTACATTGTCCTTGTTTACCCCCTTCCCTCTGGGGACATGCTAACCTAGATGGTCCCATCCAACTCTATGATTCTAAGACCTATCATCCATGCTTGCTAGGAATGAGATTGGTATCCAAATAATGCCTGGGGCAACAGGCTGAACTAAGATCAGTCACAAGTTAGTTCCTGTGACTTGGAGCAGTATTTATTAACAAAAACAGCAAAAAGGAAATAGCAAATTAGCAGGTATTAGAGAAGGACATTCTAAGCCTATTCTGCAAAAATGTTATAATTGCACGAAGATTTTCTATACTTTAGCAGGAAAAATAGGCCCATATTTTGGATATAAAAATCTTAATCCATTCATAATAATGCCAGCAAGCAGAGATTACAGATTAAATAATCCAGTTGCCAAGAGTTTGTATCAATTTCGCTTAAAAACAGAATGTACAGGTGACATTTAAACTTATTATGCTTAAGAATCAGCTTAACAGCCCCATCCTAACCAATATCCCAACCCTAAATCAAGTCCAATGTGACTTACTTCCTAGTCCCAAATAATGTTAGCAAGCAGTTATATAGTAGCTCAAAGCACTTTTAACTCTCTCAATAACTCTCCAAATGAAGGGGACACAACCTTCCTCAAGTGGGTAGTCCCCCAATTGTGCTGGAAGTCAATAATCCACAAAGTGTTAGATTGGGGAAAGCTAAATTAAGGTCATTTAGTGAAAGATGTAACAGAAAGATCTGAAAGTCAGATTCCTGGCTTATAACCAGCACTCTTAGCCAACAGATTACCCCAGTTTAGAATCGCAGTCAGATGTGTTAAAAATTATATATATTAACAATATGTTAGACTTAGGTAATTACCAAAACAAGAATATGAATATTGACTGATTGGCTGGACTTATAGGCTGCTCCAGTTGTAATACAATTGTCAGCAACGTGTCCCTTGCAGGCTTCTAAAATGCTCCTAGACAGCAGTCATGGCCATTCAAAAATGTTGGCTTGTTTTTTCAACCGCAACATAACCATCATCGTCATCATAGTAATAACAACAACAATGCAAATGATATAATTGAATAGCTTAAGTAACTTTTCTGGAGAGCTGTCTACAATATGGAGCCTGAAAAGATGACCAGCTCCATTTACATGCATTGCCTCTGAAACCAATTTGCCTCTTATTTCTTTCCAAATCTGACTCTTTGTGTGTTCAGCCATCCCTTCTGTCCTGAACAGAAACAGTCTGAAGCAACGGAACAGCCTCTCCGAAGGGAGAGAAAGACCCGTGGCCAAATAAGATGGCAGCAGCCGAAGGAGCCATGCAGCATCTTCTCCCCAGTGACAAGGCTAAGACTCTGGGTGACATTTCCCAGCTAGTCTCTGGTCAAACTTCCCCACAACATCACCCTATGGGACCCCCTTCCCTCCACAAAGTCCCCCAGCCCTGGAGGCCAAACCCAGCAATTATTACCCCCCCCCCTGAAAAACATTATCTTCCCCTCACAAGCCTGGTCTAATTTTCAGCATTTATAGATTCCTTCCTTAAGCATGTTTATGTTTAGACTGTTCTACCTTTTACTTTAAAGGGGATTAAAGGATCCACATTTTGTTCGCTTTATAAAATCCCACTTCCCTACGCTGTATCACCTAATAAAAACAGTAACCGAATGCAGCCGTCTAATAACTTGCCACCTAATTTGAAGCTTTAGTGCCCAGATGTTTCTAACAAGAGGACATTGTACAAGCCTTGGGGCTCCAAGCTCATTCTAATCCATTGTCAGATGAGACAATTTGGGGAAAGCTAAAGATTTACTGAGTTTTAGGTTACCAGATTCAGGGGGAAAAAATGTGGGGGAAGCAAACAGATGTACAAATCTTTATATTTCACAATGCTTAACGTGAATTGAATGAAAAAACACTTGCTCACCCCTGTGTGTTCCAATAACTTTGCCATCTTCAATGGAGACAAAATTGCCTGGACGTGGTTCCAGATACTACAAGGGGGAAAAACATCCTTTGAATTTAAAATCCATTTAAAAGCAATATATATGAAAAGTAACAATAAAGTGAAACGTATACACATTTCTCACCTCAAGAAGGAACTCTGAAAAATCCCTTTTACCAACAAAACAGAGGCCCATACTCTAAAATAAAGCACATTTGATGGTCATCCTTTAGATATTTTGAAAGTTCAACTAACAGCACTTAAGATCTACAAATCCTACAAATCCATCTATCTAGAAACATGCTAGATACACAAAGAAATCTTAAAGGAAATATGCTGGACTTAAGAGAAAAACAAACAATACAAAATGCTGATGGCTCACACAAAAATGTGTGTTCAGCAGAAGACTATCCTACATGGCCGCCATGACAGATAGATTAAGTAATTTCTAATTTAGAAACTATCAAAACACTAAAATGGCACAATTGGTAAATTTATCCAGAAACATAATCAAAAGAACAGGATAGTTTATTCCCTTGAAACGGCATTCAAAGGAATCCCTTTTGGTCATTTCCAGATTGCAAAGACATCTAAAGTTTTGCAAAGACATTTTCAAAGTTGGCAATTGCTGGCTGGGGAATTCTGGGAGTTGGTCCATGCATCTTAAGCTGACAAGATTGAGAAATACTGCTCTAAGTTCTAATGATTGTTTCTGTGAGTCCTTTGAGTAGGAAATGTTACCATGCCTCTTTTTTTTTCAACACATGGTGAAGCTGATGTTCTGCAGCTATCTTCTTCACAAAGTCTTTTGTTAAGTCTCCAAGAGGAAAAATGGTTTTGTGCAAGGCTTCTTGAGAAATTTGACTGAGAAAGAATGTTTGGTCTTTACTGTGATCAGCTCCCTGAAGAAGTTTGACAGCTGCAAGAGGAAGGGAGAAGAGACATAAAATAATGTTGCATGACTATATTCCACCTCCTTCACATATTTAGTTTATGGCATTAGAATCTGAAAATTGGGCCTTCAGTGAAAATGAGAAAGATGAGGAATTCAAACTTAGTAGGAAAAGTTATTTCCTCATTTAAAAACAGATTGTTTGATTGATTGATTGATTGATTGATTGATATGTGTGATCAAGTTGGTGTCAACTCTTAGCAACCACATAGAAAAACTTTCTCCATAACGATCTGTCCCTGACCTGATGTCTAAAAACACTGATATTCACACTGAGTTCTATCAATTACAAGGTCCTCTTGCTCACTTGAATGGAAGAGTAGTTCTTCCACATATGGACCAACCCCATACTTCAGGGGGACACTAACCAAAAGAGAGAATTTTATGTGCAAAATGAGGCATTGGATGAGGGGGTGGAATGAGATGTCCTTTGACATCAGTGAAAGGGAGGTTCAAACCCTTATTACTGCAAAGGATGAGAGAAGACAAAGCAGGTAGGTAGCAAAAAAAAAGGAAAGAAAGCAAATGGATGGATGAATGGTGACCACACGAGCAAATCAAATTTGGTTGGTTTGTTTAAACTACAGAGCATAACATGGCAGAAACAATAAACCAACAACCCAATACATAACTAAAAATATATACCAGGAGATCCAAAGTAACAAACAAGAAATCTGATTTTGTTTCAGATAACATTCAGTAATAAGGCTCTTGATTATGTGATATGATGTTCTACTACTTTAAGTCCAATGCAGCAGCTTTCCTAGTAACACAGTTAGCTGTTCTTTTTCATCTTGCCTTTTCCAATTTTAATCTGTATTCTAAGAAGACTTTTGCAGAAAAGGTGCCTGCTACTAACGATTCATCTCACTGTATTAACGGATGCTACGTATCTGACCTGGATTTAAGCAGTCGAGCACTTACTATTTCTTACTTCAAATCTATTTCTGAAAAGTCCTGGTGGCCTTCGTGCGTATTTTTGTTGAAATACTTCATTATCTTCCAGGGAAGTCCTTGCATAATGTCCAGTTGCTATTGCATCAGCTCCTGGTATAGTTTTGAAAAAAATAAAGACACATTTCAACAGATTCTATTGAATTACGTGCTTTTATTTTAATAAGACATTTAAAATATTTCATGACTTTAGTTTTTATATTGATATTCCTAATCCTATAATGCTTTGTTCAGGAGGAAACTCCACTGCCTTCAGTAATACTTTCTCTGAATACATAAGTAGGATTGCACCCTCAATTTCTGAAAGACAGGTTGATCTGAAAAGCAAGATCTTCATAGGCTATAAGAAGACTGTATACAAAATTGGGCTTGAGTTTCAGGTTTATTCCAGAGCTTCATTTTTCAGAAAGGTAAACCCCATTGGAAATAAAACTTACCAAGATTATCCATAGCATAGTGTAGGAAATAATTGAATTTGATGTATTTATTACATATAATATCAGGATTAGGTGTCCGTCCGACTTCATATTCATTTAAAAGGTAGCTATAGGAAAGAAAAAACAAAACATTAGAATGATTATGAGTATTTGGAAATGCAGAGATACATTTACTGTCCCATCAAGAATCTTAATTACTTTGTATAAAGCTAAGCACCTGAATCACTCCATTTCATCAGAATAAGCTGACCAGAAAGGAGAAATCTCTTTGCCCTTACTGGATTTTACTGAAGTTGTATTAGTTTATAATTAGGCTACTTATTTTAATCATTTGAAAATGACATGACTGCGCTTGATGTTTAGCACTTAATTGAGTGGGTACACTGTAAGTGCTTCAACAGCATCCATTGTCCTCTTCCATGGCACTAAGAAAACATGAATCTAGTGGTATGTGGAAAGAACCTTGGGAGACAGGAGAAAGAGCCGCAGACTAGACGATGGTCCGTCAAGCAGCAACTGAGGCTGCAGAAGGAATTTGGGTGTGGCAAATGTCTCAGAAGGGACCCTCCCTAGTTTCTTGGGCTGTAAAGGCAACGGGGGAGAGTTGTACTTTCAGACTTGCAAGATTCTGTTAATGTCACTTTACAATCAAGTAGAGTTCATTCATCTGGGCAGGCTTCTTGTCTAGACTACCTCGCAAGGCTGACAATGAAGCACCAGACTTACTCAGACTGCAACTGGATGATCCCTGGCTGGGGATCAGTGGGTGACCCTAGGTACACCTCTTTATGCTCCATGACAAACATAAGGAAGGAATTACACAGAAGACTAGCTCAGTGGTTGTTATCAGGGGTGTCTGCAAGGTGTGGTCAAAAAAATCAAGACGGCAGCCTCAACTGAGCAATGGAAGCTCTGCCTATCTTTTATGTATGTCACACATAAAAAACAGGCAAAGCTTCAGTTGCACTATCATGACCACCATCTTCAACTTTTTTGATCACACCCTGCAGCCATCCCTGATTGTTATTATTCATAGCAACATTAATGCTACACATTATTTCCAAGCATACAGCAGGTGGCAGCCTCTAGACCTGCCTGATCTTGAAAAAACACGAAGTAGGTCAGGACTGATTAGTACTGGGATGGGAGACTACGTGGAAATCCCAAGGCCGCAGGCTAGATGGTAAAGTCAGAAAAATATATCTACCGTTAAGTAGGCCATGTTGAATTATTTCCACATTTTTCCCAAGAAAACAATGTGGATGTATTCAAGTAGTCATCAGAAGTTACTCAATTCAAGAAAGTCTATCTTTAGCTTATCATTTCCAACCTTTCAAATAAGCTTATTTCAGTCACCATGGTGGATGGTTTTTGCTTGCTCAGGCAAAGGAGTTGTATTAGAGTTCGGGATGTTCTAAAATTGAGCCCTTTTCCACATGCACTTTCATAACCAAAGCACAGAGCACTGATGCTTTGCTAGAGCATGAAGAGTAGTAGATGAGAGAAGAACCAGTCAGGGAAGCTTGCAAAGCTTAAATAGGGAGCTCATTCTCTTGCTTCTCTTATTAATCTTCTCCATCACACAAAGCTTTCTTTCAGCAAAGAGTTTATAAAAATTCTCCTACCTAAACACTTCGTTCCAATATTCTTTAACGTAGGAAACTTGACGAAACGGAATGTTGAGCATCTGACACACTTTATAAGCATCTTCAGAGTCTTGGTTGCCTTGACAAATTCCCTTTTCATCCACCATGTCCCAGTTGTTCATGAACACCCCAGTCACATCATACCCTGCTTGGATGGAGAAAAGCAAGAAATGAGAAAGTAGAAATGATGGTACATGAAAAATTAACATAGACATCCTTATAAAGTAAATAACTTTCAATCTTTCACTATTAAAAAAAATGATTGAGTCATCTTTGGCAAGAACTCTTCACACTTCCTACACTTTCTCCAGTTTTGGAGAACTCTTACTGTGTTAATAGAAAGCATACTATCCCAAAATAGTAAACTCTGCACATGGCAAGTAGAAAATCTTCATTCTAGTTAGACATGTCAAAGCACGTAGATACTAATGGACTGAATATTCATCCCTGGTCACAGACTGGCCATGAAAGCATTGTACTAGCTCATATTTAGTTTCATTAAAATATGATTAAATTTGATCTTAGCAAAAATACATTTCAAATGTGTGGGTCTCACTTAGTATCTGTCTGCAACTCTTTAAACCAAATGCATCTTTTCCCAGGATTGTGGTACCCAGAGTAATTCTGAGAAAGTATTAATTTTATTTATATTTCTGCTTTGAGTTGCAAGCAAGGGCTATGTGAGCATCCAAAATGCTCCAAAGCTTTTTTTTTTTTTTTGCTTTCAGTTCCAAAGTGTTGCACAGCCCTAGTCAGTAGGGAGAAGGGTAATGTAATCATAATAAAACCCCTCTCATTAGATGCTATATTTTCCCATTGGTATATACTCTGAGGACTAGAACGTATTTGAAAGTAAGCATACTAAATTACTAGAAATACTTAACAGCCCTTTGTGTGTGAATTTGATTCCTGAAAGCCATTCCCAATGCTGGAAAGATTAATAAAATGACTCATTCATGTAGTGATCCTTAATCACTTTGGAAAAAGCAACTGTTCACTTGAAAAAAAAAGGTTAAGAAATGTTCACTTAAAGAAAAAGGTTGACTGCTGCAGGCCATTAGCATTAAACAAAATTCACATAACCAGTTTTCCAGTGTTATCTGGAGAAAACCTCCTCCAAAACCAAATGAAAGATGGACTTAAAACTGCAAACCTAAGTATTTGGGGATATACCCCTACCAGCACACATACCATGTGCTTCTTTTTGTATTTGTTATATATCCATCTTTCTTCTAAAAACGCACCTTTCCTCCAGTTTTCTCTGGAGGTAAGCTGAGTTCAGAAATAAGGATTGGTCTATAGTTTATAGCAGTGTCTTTGAAACTTGGCAATTTTTAAGATGTGTGGACTTGAACTCCCAGAATTCGCTGGGACTGGCTGGGGAATTCTGGGACTTGAAGTCCACACATCTTAAAATTGCCAAGTTTGAAAAACACTGTTCTAGGACCTAGACTGCACACACTGAATGCCCAAGGAGCAAGTCAACCTGTAGGAATTGGGCATAATTCAGTGTGTGACAAACTATATGGAGACCCTAGATGACCTTGGTGGATCTGCAAAAGCTAAGCAGGCTCAGAAAGGCTGAGTGCTTGGATGGAAGACCACTATGAGAGCCCAGGCTCGCAGAAAGGACCAAGAAGCTGAAAAACGCACTCCGGAAGTTGGCCAGGGCAAAGCCTTTCCGTTCTGCTGCTTCGAATACTATACAGAGCTTTCCCCAAAGTCCCCAGGAATCCGACCGGAAGTAGCGCTTTTTCCGCGCAGGGCAATTCCTTCCACCAGATTTCGCCCACTACTACAACTCCCAGAATCCTTCGCAAGGGAATGCCGGGATTTGTAGTCTCCAAACACCGGAAGGGAAGTTCCACCGCCGGAAAGAACGATCTGATGAGGGGGGAAAAGGACGCCGGGAAAAAGAAGCTGGAGCCCGCGGCTTCCGCCGCCATTGCCCGCTCAGGTGGCCTCACCTCGCCGCCGCAGCAGCAGCGCCGCTACGGCGCTATCCACCCCGCCCGACATGGCGCACACCACGTGCCGACGCGCGACCCCCATCATGGCCTGGCCTGGCCTGGCCTGGCCTCGCTCTCTCAGGGCCGACCGTGCTTCCTTTCCCGTCCGCGGCCCACTGTGACCTGAAGAGCAGAGGCGGGACGGGGCCGCCTGTGGGCGGAGCTGATCTCACAAACGGCCGGGAAATGGGGCTTCTCCTCTGTTCTTCCTGGGGAGGAGGGCCGCTTTCGCGGGGTCCCGGGGGTGGGAGGGGTTTCCGCTCCCTTCATCCTTTTGGTCATATCGGCTGGGGATAATGGAACCTGAAGTCCTGGCTTCTGGGAGCAGCCTAGGCAGAGGAAGCTTTTTCGAATGGGAGCAGCCGCTGGAGGACACACGTGTGGGGCTGCGCGCGCCTTCGAGTCTCTGTTGACCTCTGGCGACTGCCTCTACAAGTCCCTGCAGTTTTCCTGGGAAGATTTCGGAAGTGGTTTGCCATTGCCCGCTTCCTAGGGCAGAGAGAGAGAGAGACTGGCTCACACGGTCTCCTGGCTTCTATTCAGATGACTTAGCCACCATGCCAGACTGGCCCTCCTTTGAGGGCTTGTGCCAGCCACAGATTTACTAAGCCTCTGTTTTGAAGTCACTCACTTGGTACAGGTTGCTGCCATTTTGCAGATAGGAAGCTCAACAGATCAAGTGTGGGAATGTACTTTGGTGCATCCCAAGCAAAAGCGGAGTGTGCTTGCTCCACCAGCAACCTCTTCTGGCCTTTGTAAAGCACTTTGGGTCTCCAGAAGCAGCTGAATGTGCACCCGCTTCAAGCACCCCCTTTCTTTCTCCTGTGTTTTCCCCCCTCTTTCCTCTGTGATTTTCAAAGGGAAGAAGGATTCCTTCAAAAAAGTTGTGGAAATTTAAAAGGTCTCCTGCATAGAGCTAGTTTTCACATTCATGTGGATCTGTTTTGCTATCCAGGTGCTAATCATTGTATGACTGCTGCATAGCTTCAGACCAGGGCAAGTTCCAGTCTTTTATGTATCATTCCTTAAACCACTGTTTTTCAAACTTGGCAACTCAAAGATGTGTGGACTTCAACTCCCAGAATTCCCTAGCCAGCATGTTGGCTGGGGAATTCTGGGAGTTGA